TCAGAATGAAGACCTCGTTTTGGGAGAAGGCCCAAGGGTACAGGGCCCGTTTCCCTCAGGGCCCGTTTCCTTCGTGCTAAGTGCTGTTCTGGCCCGTCAGCGTCCCCTCACAGAACTGAGGGAGAGATCCAAGGTTCTATCTCCCGTGTGGCGATGTGCTGCGTCTTGCTCCCAGTTCTCACGAGGTAGTGGTCCGCCCACTTGGGCTGGAACCCCACAAACTGGCGCCGCTGCTTGCACGGTCGCTGTGAGACGAGGAGAGGGCAGCCGCCTTCATCGGCAACGACAGGCGCGCTGCGGGCCTTCTGCCCAGCCTGGCGGGCTGTCCGACACGTCTGGGGGTGCCGACGGGAGGAGTTACGCACAGCAGAAAGGGACCGAGGAAGAGTGGGGGAGGGGAGGGGGAAGAGGAGAGGGGAGGAGGAAGAGGGGGGAGGGGAGGGGGAAGAGGAGGGGGGGGGGGGGAAGCTTGGAGGCCTGGCCACCCCCCTCCTCCCGGGCTGGTCCCAGAACCCCCCACCCCCCTGGGGTCGCCCCGCCAGCGGGCCCGACCCAAGGAGGGAGGCGAAGGAGCAGGAGGAGGAGGAGGAAGATGAGGAGGAGGAGGAGGAGGAGGAGGAGGAGGAGCAGAAGGAGGAGGAAGAGGAGAAGGAGGAGGAGGAGGAGGAGGAGGAGGAGGAGGAGGAGGAGCCTCTTCCTCGCAGCAGTTTCCCAGGGACTCACGAATTTCTGCCGAACCCCAGACGGGAGTTGCGGCTATCGGATGGGATGTGTGCTATATCTCTCTATATATGTGTATAGTTATGTGTATATATGTATGTGTATATATATTCATATGTATATATCTATATATATGTATATGGATGTTTATATACACGTATTTGCACATATATATATATATATAAATATATTCATACATTCAGATGTATATGTGTCGCTTCCCGTCGCGGTGCCTGCATGTAGCTGCGGCTGCTTTGTGCTGCTCCTCTTCCTCCTCCTCCTCCTCCTCCTCCTCCTCCTCCTCCTCCTCCTCCTCCTCCCCCTCCTCTTCCTCCTTCTCATCCGCGTCTGTTGTGGGGAGCCTTCTTAGGGGCCCTCTTTCTCTAGCTCCATCTCCTCCTAGTCCTCCTCCTCTTCCTCCTCCTCCTCCTCCTCCACCTCCACTGCGCTCCTCCTCCTCCTCCTCCTGCTCTTCCTCAACCTCCTGCTCCTCGTCCTGCTCCAGCTCCCGCCTCCTCCTCCTCGCCTCCTCCCCTTCCTCCTCGTCGTCCTCGCAGCCGCTTCCTTCCTCTCTCTCTGCCGTGCTCCGGGCTTCTCGGCCCCCTCCCCCCTCGCCCGCGAGGCGGCAAGGCCGGCGCCGGGGCCGCGCCGGACGTGGGCGCCCGTCTCCGGGAGCAGCGGCGGCGGGAGGAGCCCTCTGCGGTCACCCTGATCTCCTCATTCCTCCTCCTCCCTCCTCCTCCTCCCTCCTCCTTCCTCCTCCTCCTCTTCCCTACTTACTCTTCCTCCTCCTCTCTCCTTATCCTCCTGCTCTTTTTCCCTCCTCCTCCTCCTCCTCCTCCTTCATCCTCTCTCCTTCTCTTCCTGCTCATCCTTCCTTCTCCTTCCTCCTCCTCCTCCTCCCTTTCCTCTTCCTCCTCTCTCCTCCTCCTCCTCCTCCTCCTCCTCCTCCTCCTCCTCCTCCCTCCTCCTTTCTTTCTCCTCCTTCTCCCTCATCTCTCCTCCTCCCTCCCTCCGCCACCGCCGCCACCGCTGCTGCTGCTGCCCCATTCGCTATCATCGCTCGTCGGCTCCCAGATCTCCGACGATCTTTTTTTTCTGTGCTGGCTTTGTTTCCTCGATTCCGGCCTTTGGGGCTCCTTTTCTGGCCCAGTGGCCATAAATCAGATATCCGGGGTGCAAAATTACCCTCTGCGCAAGGGGTCGAGACCCTGGGGCCGCAAATTGAACAAATCATATAAGGGGATGACAGGGTGCGTTGAAGGTCTGGGTCCCAAGAACGAGGGCGACGAGGGTTGAGCTAGATCGGTCGGGGGTTCATGTGGTGCCCAAAAGCTGGTTATCTCTCAACGGCCCAGCGCGCATCCAAGACATCCATGTGGTATTCCGTGAATCGAAACTTACACAAGATTTTGTTCTTCGGCCACGTCAACGACGACCTAGACCACGACCACGACCACGACGACGACGACGATAACGACGACGATAACGACGACGATGACCGACGACGACGACGACGACCACGACGTCGACCGACCGCGACGACGTCGACGACGACGACGACTACGACGACGACGACCGACCGCGACGACGTCGACGACGACGAAGACGACGGCGGCGGCGGCGGCGGCCCCCTCCTCCGCCCCATCCTGTGCGGGAGGAGGGAGGCTTGAGGGAGAGGAGGGGGCAGAGAGAGAGCGATGCGGAGGAGGAGGAAAAGGATTGAGGAGGGGAGAGCGCAAGCGTTCGGACAGGCGTGGCCGCCCTGGTCGGACAAGTGTGTGTGTGTGTGTGTGTGTGTGTGTGTGTGTGTGTGTGTGTGTGTCCGACCTGGCCGGGCGGGCTGTAGGCAAAGGCCGCCCGGGCCCTCCTCAAATGGGCGGGAGGAGCCGCGAAACGGTCGGGGGGGGTGGGGGCAAGCGCCCTCCCGGCGCGGACTGCGGAGCCCCCGGCTGAAGAAAGGGAACGGGTCTGTGGTGATCGGGGCGCGACACGCCCCGTCTGCACGTCCGAGAGAACAGGCGCCGGCTTCCTGCGCGGTGCGGCATCGGCACCTCGGTGCACCGTGGCGCGCCACCTTCGGGCATCTCCCACAGCGGCGCAGTGCGAAGGCCGCGGAACAGTTGCGGCTACTTTCCCAGCGCACTCGCGAGGGGAGAGGCCTTCATTGGTGTGCTAGCGGTGAGCTTCATGATGCGCCTGGAGGCTTCCCCGGGAGAGCGACCCCGAGAGAAGCGGTCGGACGGAAGGCATGTTGCAGGTCGTTGCAGGCGCAGTGAGCTCTTTGGAATCTGCCCAGCATAGGGCTAGGCTGTTCTTGGATGGAAGGTTGGTGGCACGCTGTTGCAGCACCGTGAGTTTAGCGATGGGAAGCGTTCCCCGTTCCCGATCTGCCTGTTGCCTGGCAGCCATGGGGTGCTGAGCCCAGGGCGTTTCTGCGATCCGCTCGCTGCATTGATGTCCCACCAGTGCCTTCACCCGCTTGGGTGGTAGGGCGGCCGCCAGTCCTTCATCCCTTGGCTATGGGTGGCGGCCGTGGAGGCGGCATCCTGGTGGACATCCGCCCCTTGAGGCACCGCTCCCGCGTGCCTTCGCCGACTCCGTGCCATTTTCTCGTTATTCTTTCGCCGTCGGCGTCGTGGCCGTCGTCAAGTCGACCTCCTGCTGGAGCAGCGGTGCGGTCTTCATCGCTGCGCAGGGCCCCACCAGGCGCCGGTCGTCGACGAAGGCTGACCCAGGTGGGCCCTTCCGGTGCCGAGGCTGCTTCCGCGGAGCCGCTCGAGCGACGCTTCTGCTGGCCAAGCGCCCCGCTGCTGCTCGCGAGGCCTGCAGTAGCACCATGGCGAGAAGCGTTTCCCGCATCCGCAACCTTGGCTCAAGCAGTGGCGAAGCGTCCTGTCTCGCCTATAGCCCTACCAGACAATGTTCTAAGAACCTTCGGTGCTCCCAACCAGAAAGTCCAACCAGAAATGTTTTTAGACCATTTCTGGTTGGGACTGTCTTGTTTTAGCACATCGGGTTTATGTTCTAAGAACGTTGTTTTTGTACTTAGAACATGTGTGGGTTCTCAGAACATTTCGTGGTAGGACTATAGGAATGCTGGGTCGGTCGGTCCCTGCTCAATTGGCACTGAAACATTTGGGGCCTGCGTCGCGGGGGGCGCGTGCCACATCAGGGGGGCGACGGAGCCATGACTGGGTGTGGGATGGCGTCTGCAAGAACGCGAGGCGGCAGCCTCTCTTGGCTCGCGATGGCGGTGCCCTCCTGAAATTCGCCGCCGATCGGCCCAAACAACGTGGGCCAGAAGGGCTAGGAGAAGGCGGACAAGGAGGATGGATGAGGCGGGGAGGAGGAGCAGGAGGGAGGAGGAGGAAGAGGAGGAGGAGGAGGAGGAGGAGGAGGAGGAGGAGGAGGAGGAGGAGGAGGAGGCGGCTCTGACGCCACGGGCCCTCGTAATCGCCCCTCGGTTTGCTTCATGGAGGCGGAGGAGAAGGATGAGGAGGAGGAGGAGGAGGAGGAGGAGGAGGAGGAGGAGGAGGGAGGAATGAGGAGGAGGAGAGAGGAGGAGGAGGAGGAGGAGGAGGAAAACGAGGAGGAGGAGGAAGCAGAGGGAGGAGAGGAGGAGAAAGAGAAGGAGGGAGGAGGAGGAGGAGGAAACGGAGGAGGGAGGAGGAAGAGGAGGAGGAGGAGGAAGATGAGGAGGAGGAAGAGGAGGAGGAGGTGGAGGAGGATGAGGAGGCGGTGGAGGAGGGAGGAGGGGGGGAGAAACAGGGAAGGGAGGGTCGAGGGAGAGCGAGGAGGAGTGAGGAGGAGGAGGAGGAGGAGGAGGAGGAGGAGGAGGAGGAGGAGGAGGAGGAGGAGGTGGAGGAGGAGGAGGAGGAGGAGCGCCGGGATGGTGGCCAGGAGAAGCGCTGGCGCCTCGGCCTCCTGGCGCTCGCCGCCGCGGCCGCCGCGCTGGCGGCGGCCGTCGCGCTGGCGGCGGCCTCTCCCCGCGCAGGCGCGGGAGCCGCGGGCGGCGCTGGCGCCACGCGGCAGCGGCTGCGGCCGGCCTCCGACTACGGCCTCGGAGGGCCCCGAATCATCAGGGGTAACTCGGGTCAGGGATAACTCGGGTTCGTTTTTCGGGAATCCGAACCCGACTTGACCCGGTTAGTTCGGGTGTTCAGAGCCCCGAATCATCAGGGGTAACTCGGGTCAGGGCTAACTCGGGTTCCTTTTTCGGGAATTTAAGCCCGAGTTACCCCGGACCCGAGTTACCCCGGATAACTCGGGCGCCCAAGGCCTCGGAGTGTCCCCGCTCTCCGCCGGCGCGGCGAGAGTCGCTGTGGCGCCAGCGGCCGCGGCGGCTGCCTGCCCTCTCGCGGGCCGCGAGGGCGTGTCGGCGCTGGAGCGATCGGGGAGGGGCCGGGCCACGCGCCGGCCGCGGATATACTTTAGACATGCCCGCGTCGTGGAGGCATCAGGTCAGGAGACGGTTTCTTGTGCCCTGGCGGCAGATGCGCAACGGGGGGGAGAGGGGGGGGGGCCGCCTGGGAATGCTTGAGAGTGGCTCGTTCCCAGATGGCGCCGGCGCGAATCGTGATTCTGGCGCGGGTCCCAGACAATGTCGCGTCGTAAGAAGAGCAGGACGGAGGTTTCTCGCCGTTTTTTGGCTTGGCCTCTGGGGCCAGGCTCCAGGGCCATTCAAAGACGACTCATGACGAAAAGCTGCTCTTGGGTAAAGGTTTGTGTGATTGGGAGCTGCGCATTGGACAAAGACCCGATATCGCGTGTTTGTCGGGCCAGTGACCCTCACGGATCCATCCGTTTCGAGAAACCGCGCAGAAAGAGGGTCTCCGCCACCATTGCGCACAGCTCGGGGCACTGGATCCCGACCACCTCTAGGATTGCTTGGTGGAGTCATCGTCCCATCAGTTGGGAAGCTGGCAGTTTTCATCTTCAGGTGTTTTCCTCTAGGGGAAAAAGAGGAAAAAAACGGGTCTCGAGTTCTGGTCGCGCTCTTCGCGAAGCTCGCGTCGTGATTCTCTCGAGGGAGCCACGGGTGCAGATCGCGACTGCGGCGGACGGCGACCACCCTCGCCGGCACGCCCCCACCGCCGCGGCCCGCCGCGCCCGCGGCCACCGCCGCCCGCGGCTCGCCGCCGCCGCCGCCGCCGCCGCCGCCGCCGTCGTCGTCGTCGTCGTCGTCGTCGTCGTCGTCGTCGTCGTCGTCGTCGTCGTCGTCGTCGCGGTGGTCGTCGTGGCAGTGATCGGCGTCGGTCGCGGTCGCGGTCGTGGTCGTCGCCGCGGTCGCGGTCTTCGCTCGTGGTCGCTCGAGCGCTGGGCCCTGGGGGTGGTAATCGAGACGATGTTGACAACTTTTTCACGAGCTCCCCCCAGGAGTTTGGCACCGTGGGTCTAGCCTTAGGTCGGGCATGTCCTCCTACAGGCGGGCGTTGGGCAAAAACAAGAATCCAAACGTTATTTTTCTTGAACTACGTTTGAATATTTCTCCTTCAGGGGGACAGGCCCGACGTAAATCTAGCCTTGCTGCCTAAGCGCGTTGGGCCAAGTGCTTACGGAATGCAGTGCATTGCAGAGGCGAACAACACATAAACAAAAAAAACTCCGACCCAACCCGAAGGCCGCGATTTGCCCTTCCTTTCCCATGGCGGGGGGGGGTCGGGGAACATTGATAGAAACATATATAAAACCAGACCCCCTCCGGCCGCGATTTGCCCTTCCTTTCCCATGGCGGGGGGGGTCGGGGAACACTGAAAGAAACATATATGAAACCCGCCCCCCCCCCCCGACCCGAATGTCGGGCCTTCGGGCTGGGTTGGGGTGGTCTGGCAGGTAGTCCATGTCTGGGTCCACATGCCGATGCCGATGGGCCTCGCCGCCGTTTTCGGGCGCCTCCTCGTCGGCTCTCGGAGAGGTTGCCGAGCCTCGGGGTGCTTTCTCCTGCAGCGGCGCCTCGCCTCGGTCGTTTTTGTTCCCGTGTGCCTGCATCGTCCCACACGGCCGCTGGGGACCCGAGGTGCGCTCCGAAATTGGGACTCAAGAGACGGGGGTCAGTGCAGACGGGAGTCAGCCAAAGCGCCGTATCTTGCAGGATCCTGCAGGGCCAGGGTCGCTTTGACCCGGGTCTGGATTAACCCGGGTCAGCAGATCCCCGAAAGAAGAAGACACGCCAAAACCAAAAACAACGTGTGTTAAGTCGGGCCTGTCCTTCTGCAGGGGGAATATTCAGAAATAGGCAACACATTGTCTGGGACTGATTTTTCTATTTGGTTGTTTTTATGATTTAGAATATGTTGAGACTATTTTCCATTTTTCCCTTCAAATCCACCTGTGGGGGGACATGCCTGGCCTCAAACTTGTGGCGTTCCGCGCGGATTTGTTAGACCCGCGCTTTGCCCCCCCCCCCCCCCCCCCCCCTCCCAGCGGCGCCTCCGGCGCCGCCCCTGGCGCGCTCCGCGCGCCAGGGAGGGAGGTCCGACGCAGACCCAAGAGATCCGCGCGGAGCGCCAACAGTTTATGGTTACGCCGCTTTCCCTTCTTTTTCTTCCTCTTCTTCTTCTTCTTCTCCTTTTTCGTTTTCTTCATCCTCTTCTTCTTCTGCTTCTGGAAGCCAGACCTCTTCGCGTCGTGGGAATTCTGGCCTCTGGGGGCTCTCGCCTGGCCCCTGGCCCTGGGACCGTCGCGTAGGAACGACTTAGGATGAGCAAGCGGTTCCCGCGAAGCGGTCCAGGCCTCTGGGGAGCCGCGCTTTGAACATCACCACCCACCAAACCACCCCAAACCAACCCGAAGGCCCCGATTTGCCCTCCATTTCCAGTGGGGGGGGTCGGGGAACGTTGGAAAAACAGATAGGAAGCCCGTACCCCCCCAAACCCGAAATTCGGGTCTTCGGGTTGGGTTGGGGTGGTCTGGTAGGTACTCAGAACACATCACGACGTCGGATGTCTGGAGGATCATTTGGGGAACAAGAAGTGGCACAAACATGACAACTCGGAGGTCGGCGCGGATTTCTCGGATCGGCGCTGGGCCCCCTGGCGGCGCTTCCGGCGCCGCCCCTGGCGCGCTCCGCGCGCCAGGGAGGGGGGTCCAGGGCCGATCCGAGAAATCCCCGCGGACCTCCGAGTTGTCATGTTTATGTCGAGATTCGATCCCTTACACATGCCGCTGCTTGTGTTCCGCGGGCGACCTGCATGCACCGTGCCGCGTTGGCGTCTCCCGAGGCGTCGCCGATCTACGACCAGGGGACTTGGTTCGTCGCATAGGTTTGTCCGCCCTGAGGGCTGAGAAACTATGCACCGCACCGCGCTGTAGCGAGGCCTGAAGGGAGTCTGAAAGTGGTACGGTGCCTGAGCGCCGTTCTCGCACATGAGCAGGACGCTGTGCCGAGGGCCCCTCGAGGCTCCGGAGGTCCCCGGGACCAGTTCTTCGCCCCGAGTCGCTTTTTCTGCCTGTCCCGAGGCCCGGCGAGGGCTCCCTGGGGGCCGAAAATAGCCGAAAACCTCCCGTTCTGACTTTTTGACGACGCGACTTTCTGACGGTCCCGAGGCCCGGCGGGGGCCCCCCTGGTCCGAAAATATAGCCCCAAACTTCCCGTTCTGACTTTTTAACGACGCGATCGTGTCTCAGACATGATCGCGTGGTTACCCACAGATCCCAGACACAGATCCCCCCCAACAGATCACATGTCTTAACGACGCGATCATGTCTCAGACGTGATCATGCCTTCGGATGCAACTCCTGGGAGGTCAAATTCTGATTTTGTCCTGGTCCGAAATCCGGCTTGATCCAGCTGAATCCCGCTTAATCCCGCTTAATCCGCTTCATCTGGCTTAATCCTGCTTAGTCCGAGGCCCACTCCAGCGTACCAGCTCCCAAACAGGGCTGAATCTCTTCAGTCTTTCCGACGGAAACCTCCAAGCAGTTGCCTCCTAACATGCCTCATGTCTCGGACGTGATCCTTGGGGGCAGCACAGGGTCCCAGAGATCCGATGTCGTGATTCTTTCAATACGTGGTCCCCGGAAGTCTCGACCCATTCCCCAGGATCGGTTTTTCATCCTGAGTCGTTTTTTTGCGCTCCCGAGGCCCGGCGAGGGCCCCTAGGGGCCGAAATTTAGGAAAAACCTCCGCCTTGATTTTTTCAATGCGTTGGATCTCTGGGGTATCCCGTCGTGCTGCCAGAGGCCCAGTGGGTCTCTGGCGGCACGACGGCTGCGTGCCCCTCGCCAGCGGCAGGCGCGGCTGTGCCCGCCCGTGCCCGCGCGCCCTCGCGGCCCGTGGCCGCCACAGGGTGCGCGGCCCCACGGCGTGCGCAGCGCCACGCCCCTCCTCCTCCCCCTCCTCCTCCTCCTCCCTCCCTCCCTCCCTCCCTCCCTCCCTCCCTCCCTCCCCTCCCTCCCTCCCTCCCTCCCTCCTCCCTCCCTCCCTCCCTCTCCGCATCCTCCTCCTCCTCCGCCTCCTCTGCCTCCTCCCCCTCCTCCGCGGGCGCGCTCTCCGCGCGCACGCCGGGGGGCTTCCGCGCGGGGGCGCCCCGCAGCCGGGCAGGGCATCGTCTCGATGCCTCCGGCTCGATGCGCTGCGACTTCGCCGGCTGCCGAGTCGATCGTCCTCGTCCTCGATTCCGATTCGATTGGATCCGATTCGATCGCCGAGCGGGAGGCCCACGTGGCTGCTAATTACGTGTCCTGATGGGCAGAGCCGGAGCGGGGGCCACGCCGCTCGCGTGCAGAAGGCGGCCGCCGTCCTCGCGGGCGCGCTTCTGGGTAAGAAGCGTAAGCGCGACGACGACGACGGCCCCTCCGAGTCGATGCCTCCGGCTCGATGCTCTTCCGATTCCGCTTCGGTTCGGTGTCGGACTGCGAGCTGGGGCTCCGATTTTGGCACTGGGCGCGTGCTGGCCTGCCGACTTCCGCTGGCTCGACTTTTCCCGACGCGGCTGCCGATTTCCGCCGATCCGATCTCTTGTCGTCTGCATCCGTGGTCACGGAACCCCCTAATCTAACAACGCAGTGAAGACGTGGCCTCGTTTAGGTCCCCGTCGCTGCAGTAGGGGTAGTTACTCGATCAGGGTGGTTTGTGGTTCGATGCATCCGCGGGGAAAGGTCCCTTGTCCCGAAAGTGTTGGGCCTCCAGGCTCGGGTCCGCTCCCGAGCACCGCGAGGCCGTGGGCGTGGGCCCAGACGTGCTCGCGTCGTGACATGAAGCAACAGGCCGGGAGGCTTTCTGCCGTTATCGTGATGTCGGGCGTGCCCCCCATACAGGGGGATTTTCGACGAAAAATGAAAAATACCCCAAACAATAGTCCCCAGACTGTTTTTGGATTCGTTTCTATTTTTCGTCGAGAATCTTCCTGTAAGGGGGACAGGCCCGACTTACCGTTGTCGGCCTCCGAGGGCTCTTGCCGGGATTCCGCCGCTCTCGGGCCTCCGTGGTCGGCCTCCGTCATCGGCCTCCGAGGGTGTCCGCCGTGGTCGGCCTCTGTGAACGGCCTCCGACCGTCGTGAAACGACGTGGCATGAAGAGCTGGCCCATGGGGCAAGGGTCGGGGCTGCCGGAAGCCGCGCATGGAACAACATCAGGCCATCGCACGTCTGGGGGCATGTGTTCCCGCCTGTGACTTCCCTTGGTGTCCCCCTGTCTTCTGCCGTGCCGCGGCTGGGTCCGCCTCGGAATCCTGGTCCGGGGCTCACCCCTGGGGGATGGCCGTGGGGGTTTGCCGGTATCGGGGCATCGGTACGGTAGGTTCGTGTCGTGTCGACCAGCGGCGACCCCGCCAGCGGCGTTCAGTTTTGAACGCCGCGGGCGACCCAGACTCGTTCGATGTGGAACGATTTGGACGTTTCGTAAACGGCCGATCGTTCAAGGTTGAACGATCCCCGCGGTGTCGGAAACCAGCGCCAGGGTCGACACGACACGAACCCGCCGTGTATCGAATCGAGCCTGCGCCCCCAGGAGTGCTTCTTCCAGGACCTCGTCGACGAGGTGAAGCTGGAGAGCAGGGTGGCCACCTCGGACCCGAAGCTGGGCGCCGAGGGCACGTACGGGGAGATCACGCCCGCCGGGGTCCGGACCATTCTGCAGGCGCTCGCCGTGGCCGAGGGGGACGGCTTCTACGACCTCGGCTCGGGGTTCGGCAAGGTGGTGCTGCAGGCCCTGCTGACCACCGGCTGCAGCCGGGCAGTGGGCGTAGAGCTGTCCGAGGACCGCCATAGGAGCGCCGAGCTGGCGGGCGGGAAGGTGGTGTCGCTGTTCTCGCACGGCGACGGCGCGCTCGGCGAGGCGCTTGCCTCGCGGCTGGAGTTCCGCCACGGGGACGCCACGAAGACGGCGCTCGACGACGCCACCGTCGTGTTCATGTGCTCCCTCTGTTTCCCAGCCTTCGTCATGGAGGGGATCGCGCAGCACCTCCTGGCCGCAGCGGCTCCCGGCGTGGTCGTCCTGACGCTGAAGCCGTTCCAGGGCTGCCACCCCGGATTGGTGCTGATAGGCCACCTGGCGCTGCCCATGACCTGGACCGAGTCGTCCGCTTAGTCGAGGTTCGAAATCCTTGTTGTTGTTTTTTTGTTGTTGTTTTTTTGTTGTTGTTTTTTTGTTGTTGTTTTTTTGTTGCTGTTTTTTTGTTGCTGTTTTTTTCCCTTCCGTATTCGGCCCTTTCGAAGCGGGAGAAGACACGGCAGCCCACGCCAGAGACAGAGCGGCAGCACAGCCAACGGCACCGAGCCGTACCCGGCGCGAACGAGAATCCCCCACAAAAGGAGCACAGAACAGACCCCAAAGCGGACCACCAGCGGCAGCACAGAGGCGCCCCCGGCGTCCCCAGACCCCCGACGTCACAGGTTTTTCATGACCTCCACCCCCGGAGGTCTCGACCCCTTCCCCGGGGCCGGTTTTTCATCCTGACGCGCTTTTTGACGGTCCCGAGGCCCGGCATCGGGGCCCCGAGAGGCCGCGAACATAGAGAGACGAGCCTCCCCGCCGCCGTGTCTTCTTGCCCGAGGGGGCCTGGGCCTCCTCAGCCTCACCTCGCGCCGCTCGACACCAGGAGCAAGTAAAGACACAGCAAACAGCTTAAGCACGAGCCTCAGGTCCTTCGACATGCTGGTCTACGTCGTGGCCCCGCCCCCTGCGGTCTTCCAAGGCTCAAGTCGGGCGTGTCCCCCTACAGGGGGATTTTCGACGAGAAATAAAAAAACACAACAAATAGCCAAAAAATAATCAAACACATAATCTGGGGACTATGTTTCAGTATTTTTCTATATTTGTTTGGGATCTGTTTGGAAGTATTTTTTTATTTTTCGTCGAAAATCCCCCTGTATGGGGGACACGCCCGACAGAAGCCAAGGCCTGCTCCGCCCCGCGGCCGCCGCCCCCGGGGGCGGCCCCCCGCGGGCGTGGCGCGCGGCGCTGGCCGACGGCCTGGGCCCACGGGAGGCCGCCGCGGCCGCCGCGGGCCTGGCGGCGGCCTCGGCGGTGGGGCGCGACCTGGTCACCGGGAGTCCGCCGCACAGTGGACGCCGCAGGGAGCCACCCTCCTCCTCCTCCTCCTCCTCATCCTCCTCCTCCTCCACCTCCACCTCCTCCACCTCCACCTCCTCCACCTCCTCCACCTCCTCCTCCTCATCCTGCATGACCTTTATGGTCGAGTCTAGCCTCCTCCTCCTCCTCCTCCTCCTCCTCCTCCTCGCTTCGAGTCATGAAGAAAACACGGCGCAAGGTTTTTCGCGATGGTCGGCCTCCGGGGGCCCTCGGGCCCGTCAACAAAACGACGCAGAAGTCCAACGTAGTGTTAGGTCGGGCGTGTGCCTCTGCAGGAGGAATGTTCAAACATAGCAAAAAGATAATCAGGGAACGAGTTTTGGAGCATTTCTGAGCATTTCTGGAGTATTTCTTCGAGTATATTTAGTTCTTCGCCGAAGATCTCCCTGCAGGAGGACACGCCCGACCTAAACCCAGAAATCACGACGGGAGGCCTTCCGCGATGGTCGGCCTCCGGGGGCCCTCTCTGGGCCTCGGCACCGTCAACAACACACGACGCAGGGCGAAAAACCGGTCCCGGGGAAGGGGTCCAGACCTCGGGGTCGCGGCATGGAAAGTATCCTGACGTCGGGGGGGGGGGTCTGGGGATGCTGCCTTTCCAGCCACGGCCTGCCCCCTCCCGGAAGCGGCAGCGCTGCGGCCCGCAAGGCCGATGGGACTCCGCACAAGCCGCCTTCATGGCCTTCGGGTGCGGTCTGACACCCTTTGGCGGCGAGCAGAAGGGGGTAGGGAGAGGGGGGAAGGCCGCCAAACCCTGGGCTCCGGGGAAGAGTTCTCTTCGATTCAGTTTCAGTTCGACTGGTCCCCGTTCGGCTGCGTCATATAACCGCTACGCGGTGAGAGTATGGCTTCAATTCGATGCTCCGCTCTGCCGATGCGCATCCTGAGATCCTGGTGCTGCAGTTGTTGCGCAGCGGGCGTTTTCGCCCTGCTTCGGGCCACAGGAATTTCTTACGGATCGATCCAGCTCGACAGGGGACCCAGGAGGATGCCGCGACCCCCAGAGGTCCGGACCCCTTCTTCGGGACCGGTTTTTCGTCCCGAGTCGTTGTTTGACGGCCCCGAGGCCCGGCGAGGTCCCCTAGAGGCGGACAATCGCGAGAAACCTGCCGTCGTGATTTTTTCATGACTCGAGGGGTCCTGGGTGGGGTCCAGGGCTCTGGTCGCAGTTCTTCGCGATGTGGTGGCCGGGCGTCGGCGCTAATCACCGGCGCCGCTCCACTGATTTTCAATCTGGCTGGCGCCACCCCGCGATTCGCCCGAGCAGGGGAACTATCTCAAACGCGCGCCCCCCTCGTGAGATCTGTGGGTGTGGAGGATTTCTTCGCCTCGCCGGACCCCCCTGGGGACCGTGAGCGAAAGGGCTCGGGACGAGGCGCCTGGCCCTCTGGGGAGCGGGTCCCCAGACCCCTGGGCGCCATGATGATCTTTCCATGGCGCGTCCCCCAGAGGTCCAGGGCTCATTTCGACTCCTCCGATCCCAGACCCCCTTCAAGGAATGGAAGAATCATGACGGGAAGTTTTTCGCCACTTTCGGATTCTAGGAGCCTCGGGACTGTCCAAAAACGACTCAGGATGAGAAGCCGGTCCTGAGGAATGGGTCGAGAATTCTGGGGGTCGAGGTAATGAAAAAATCCATGACGTCGGGGGTCTGGGATTCGATTCGATTCGATTTCGATGGCTCCCGATTCCGATTCGATTCGACTCTGGATTCCGATTTGGGTTCCGATTTCTTATTGGGCGCATACTTTTTCTGCCGATTGCCGCCGAATCGACTTTTCCCGACTCGGCTGCCGACATCCGCCGATCCGATTCATGTCGATCGCCGATCTGATTGACCGATCCGATTCTAGGCTCTCATCGAGGTCCAGACCCATTCCCCTGGACCGGTTTTCCGTCCCGGGTCGTTATCAGACGGTCCCGAGGCCCGTAAGGGCCCCCGGAGGCCAACCATCGCCGAAAACCTCCCGTCGTGATTTTTGTTTACAGCAAGGCCTCGGCGCTCTCTGCGCAAAGTTAGGTCATGCATGTCCCTCTGCAGGCGGTTTTTGGACGAACATTAAAACATAGTCAAAACATATTCCCACATGGTCAAAAATAGTCCAACAATCGTCGCCATTTTTTGTTCGATTATTTTTGATGTTTCCTCCTGTAGAGGGACATGCCCGACTTAACCACAGAGGTCAGCGTGGAGGCGCTGCAGCGCGCCCTGGACCAGCTGGCGCCCGGGGCGGCGAGCCCGGCGCTGGTCCGCCGCTTCGCGCGCGTCGCCGCCGCCCGGGCCTCCAGCGCGCCCGCCTCCGCGAGGAGCCTGGCGCTGGAGGCAGGGCTCACTTTGATTCTTTCGATTCGATTCGAGTCGATTTCGATGTGTCCCGATTCCGATTCGGCTCGGCTTCGGATTCCGATTCGGGATCCGAGTTCTCAACGGAGGCCTGCCAGCCTGCCGGTTTCTGCCGCTTCGGCGTCTCCCGACTCAGCTGCCGATAGCTGCCGATTTCCGCCGATCCGGCTTGTTTGATGGGCTCCACCACCACCACCACCATGAGTTGGAGGGGGAGGAGGAGGAGGAGGAGGAGGAGGAGGAGGAGGAGGAGGAGGAGGAGGAGGAGGAGGAGGAGGAGGAGGAGGAGCAGGAAGAGGAGGGGAGGAGGAGGAGGAGGAGGAGGAGGAGGAGGGGGAGGAGGGTGGTGGTGGTGGAGTACAGGCCCATCATGATTTCGCTCCCCGTTCCGACTGGCCGCTTCGATGCCGGGCCCTCCCGCCTGAGGCCCTCCAGCGGGAGCGCGCGCGCGCCCTCGCCGCGGACGCGCCCGCGTGGGCCGGCGAGCAGAGCGCCGTCAACGCGACGGAGGCTGCCCGCGCAGGGGGGGAAAGGCGCCTACGCTTAGGATGTCCCAGCCTACTTTAGCCGTGACCACAAGGAGGAATCTCGAGCACCAGAACAAGTACCGGAACTCGAGGCTTTTCACGTGTCGGGCCCGTGTCGGGGGAGGGAAAGGCACGCCTACGCTGAAGTCAGGGCATGTCCCTCTACAGGGGGAATGTCTAAAATTATCCCAGTGCGACCCTACCTAGGAGTTGGAGCCCCTAGGAAAGCAGCATTAGTAGTAACAGTAAAGCTAAACTAGCTAAGCTAAAGCTAAGCTAAAGCTAAGCTAAAGCCAAACTAAAGCTAAACTGAAACCAAGCTAAAGCTAAGCTAACGCTAAGCTAAGGCTAAGCTAACACTAAGCTAAAGCTAAGCTAAAGCTAAGCTGAAGCTAAGCTAACGCTAAGCTAAAGCTAAACCAATCTAAACTAAATTAAGCTAAAGCTAAAGCTAAATATAAGCTAACGCTAAGCTAAAGCTAAGCTAAAGCTAAGCTAAAGCTAAACTGAAGCTAAGCGAAAGCTAAGCTGAAGCTAAGCTAAGGCTAAGATAAAGCTAAGCTGACGCTAAGCTAAAGCTAAGCTAAAGCTAATACAAAGCTAAGCTAATTCTAAGATAAAGCTAAGCTAAAGCTAAGTTAACACTAAGCTAAAGCTAAGCTAACGCTAAGCTGAAGCTAAGCTACAGCTAAGCTAAAGCTAAGCTAAAGCTAAGCTAACACTAAGCTAACGCTAAGCTAAAGCTAAGCTAAAGCTAAGCTAAAGCTAAGGTAACACTAAGCTAAAGCTAAGCTAAAGCTAAGCTAAAGCTAAAGCTAAAGCTAAAGCTAAGCTAAAGGTAAAGCTAAGGCTAAAGCTCCCAGGGGACTGGGGGAACCGCGGGGCGGGGACTGGGGCAACCGCCCGGGGCGGTTTCCATTGCCCGGCCCCGTTAAGCTAGAAAGTAAGAACCCTTCTAGGCAGAGCCTAGGTAGGGAAATAGTCACCAAAATAGTCTGGGGATGATTTTCTGAGTATGTTTTGACAATGTTCAGGCATTTTTGGGTATTTTTATTTTTGCGCCCATAATCCCCCTGTAGGGGGACAGGCCCGACCGAAGCCTGCGCCGCGCTGCCCTCGTGGCCTCCTGGGTGGGGCCGGCCTCCCCGGCCCCCTGTGCCCGGACATGCTCCCCAGAGCCCCGTCGGGCAGTGGCACAGTCACGACGGGAGGCTTCCAGGGGCCCTTACCGGGCCTCGGGGCCGTCGAGAAACGACCCAGGATCTGCACGAACAAGAATTGAAATGGGCACGGAGAGAAGGGGTACGATGCCCACCAGCAGTTCCTGTTCATCTTGGACAGGGCTCCCTGTCCGCGCCGCCGCGGCCTGTGTCCATTCGAGAGAAGGCCGCCTGCCCAACAGCGGCCGCTGTTGGGACAGCATTTGTTGTTGGGCATTGTGCCCATTTTTTCCGTACCCATTCCGGGCGTCCTAACAGAATGAGAAGCCGGTCCCGGGGAATGGGTCGAAACCTCTGGGGGTCGACGCAATGAACAACACAGCTATGACGTCGGGGGTCTGGGTGGGTGGGGTCGGCCGCCCCGAGCCCTCGTGGCCTCCTCGGCACGGCTCATCTCGACTCCTCCCATTCGATTCGATCTCATTTCGATGGCTTCCGGTTCGACTCGGCTTGGGATCCCGATTCGGGCTCCGATTTCTTATTGGACGCATACTACTTCTGCCGATTGCCGCCGATTCGACTTTTCCCGACTCGGCTGCCGATATCCGCCGATCCGCTTCATGTCGATCGCCAATCCGACTTATCGATTCGATTCTGGGCTCTCCTGCCTAGGTGGGGTCGGAGTAGATGGGGTCGGAGGATCGCGCCGCATCTCCGATGCAACGCCGATGCGGCTCGATGTGGGACCCGATTTGCGTCACGTCGACGTCGCCGATGCATCGCCGACGTCGACGATGCATCGCCGGTGCATCACCGATGCATCGCCGATGCATCGCCGATGTATCGGCGATGCGGCCCGATCCTCCGACCCCATGTACTCGGACCCCATCAAGGAGGCCTCTATACCCTTCCCTCGTTTTCCCCCTTGTTGGGCCTCCTAGGAGGCCCTATAGTCGCCACCGCTCGATTCGCCTCGAAGTCTTGGTCAGAACGCGCCCTGGGAGAGTTCCGGGGAGTAGCGGTATCCGTACCTTTTGGGTTTCCCCACCCAGTGGATCTCAGGGAACAGACGATGACATGAGAGTGGGGGGGCCGAACGGTCATGTCATTCGCTGTCGTCCCTGGGCGCGTGGCAGAAGTGGGATTCTGCGGTGCGGGTTGTTGTTGCGTTGTTGCGTTGTCGTTGCATGCGCTGTTCTAAGAAGTAGTTATTGTTGATCTCCCGTCCCTGGTTCACCTTGTGTTTTTTCCATTGAAGTGCTCTTCTGGGGCTCACACCTTGCTTCGTACAGGGAAAATATTGTGCCTCAGATTTTATTATTTTCCCCTGGTTTACCACAACAGCGGCTCCCGCTTGATATTGCCTCACAACTTATTCAAACTCGCGCCCTTGCGCGGGATGTTTTTGATAATTCGTACGTGCAGGACTCGCACTCTCGCGTGGGGCCGCCTCGCAATTCATTGTGACGCCGCGCCCTCGGCACCCAAGAATCACGCTCTCGCCTTGGACGCCCTCACGATTTGCCTGGGGAGCGCGCTATCGCTCGAGACGTCCTCGCGATGTCTGCAGGACTGACGCTTCAGCGACCTGCCCGCTCGACCCCGCCGTCTGGGCCCGCCCGCCCGACCCGCCGGTGAGGGCCCGCAGGTCTGGTTTTTGCCGAAGGTGGTTCTTCTCCTGATCTTAAGTCGAGGCCTGTCCTTCTACAGGAGGAATATTCAAAGATAGTCAGAAAATGATATGTGGACATTCTTTTGACCATTTTGGAGTGTGTTAGGGGATTCTTGTTGACTATTTTTAATTTTTCGTCCAAATTCGGCCTGTAGGGGGACAGGCCCGGCTTTGATCCTAATTCCCACCCGTGTTCCATCCTTTTCTCTCCCCTTTGTCCCTTCCCTCCTCCTTTCCTCTCTTTGAGGGGGGCTGCGGCAACCACACGCGGCAGGCAAGGAAGATATATACCCCCGAGGGGGGTATGATCGAAGACGGAGAGGGCGGTCATCGAAGGTCTGGGACTCACATGTTGAGTGACACGCGAGCAGACAAGAACGACAGCCTTAAATGATTGACCTTGTTATTGTATGTGTTGTTGTCGTTGTTGCTGTTGTTGTTGTTGCTGCTGCTGTTGTTGTTATGTTGTTGCTGCTGTCATTATTGTTGGTGCTGGTGGTGCTGGTGTTGGTGTTAGTGTTGGTGTTGATATGGTTGTTGTGGTTGTTATTGAGTTCTCACTTCTAACCAATAAATATTGCTGATCCCCCTCGTGTGACCGTTGAACTGTTCGATTAAGATGCTCCTCCTGGGGTTCGCAAAGTGAAGTGCCACCAATCGAAGTAGTCGGCCTCCGGTTTACAACAATGAGCGGCTCCCGCTTGATACGTTCTCACAATTTATTCAAAATCGCGCGCTCGCGCGGGACTGTCTCATAATTCATGCAGGACTCGCGCTCTCATGTGTACAGAGATGTTGTTCAACACGTGTCGCCCAGAGAGGCGGCCACAGAGTTATACATCATTCTGTTGTCCTGTAGCGTCTCTGCGAAGCCCCACGGGAGGGGGCCCAGGCACCTTAGTTCGGCGGCGAACCCGGGGAGGAAGTGAGAAGGGGCGGGCCTTCCACAGAAGGCGTGAGGGCTTCCGAGAAGTCCCGCCGCCCTCCGAGAAGGTCTCCTCCTTCCCATTTCCCCCCCCTCGCTCGCGGCCGATTTGTGTGCGCACGCGCGGGAGTGCCCTCCCCTGCCTCCCTTCCGCCTCCCTCGCGGCCGCTTCGCCTGCCTTTCCCCCCTCGTGCCGCTGGCGAGCAGTCGCGCTCTCCGCTGCCTGGGCCGCCTGAGCGCGCGTGCGCACTGCGTCCTCCGCGCCGCGAGGTGAGAAAAAGCGTACCCGCGCGGTGCCCGGAGGCCGCTCACTGGATCTTCTCGCGCGCGCGCGGGGACGACGACACAGCGCTCGACTGCGTGCTGGTGGACCTGTGGCCGCGGCCGCTGCCGAAGCTGCGGCCCGAGGAGGAGCGCCTGGCCTTCGGGCGGCTGAGCGCCCAGGCGCAGGTGGGCGGCGCAGCGAAACGGGGCCGTCTGCGCCGGCATCGGCGCGCCAGGCCGAGGCACCTGGCCGGGGTCGGTGCGGGGAGGGCAGCCCTGGTGCTCTTCGTGCTCGCGGGGTGCTCTCTTGTGCATCCTTTGGGGGAGGTTGTGGACGGGCGGCGCAAGCAGCAACGGGGTCGTCTGCGTCGACGTTGGCGCGTAAGCTGCTCGCGTAAGGTCGCGCGTAGGCGCCCCCGTCTCCATCGTGGCTTGCCGCGCTGGCCTCCCGCGTAAGCCACCGCGCAGGGTCGCTGTGTCATCTCGCGCAAAGACGCTCTTCTGATCGTCGCTCAGGTGACGCCCCCGCTCTTCGGCGCGGTGCTGGGCCTGCTGGAACCTCCTCTAGGCCCTCGGATGTCCAGACGCTCGGAGGGGGAGAAGGTACCAATACACGCCGGTCGTTGAAAGTAGATGTTTTGGATTCCCAGACCCCAATCTACTTCAAGCGCCTTCCTACATCAAGAATCGACACGCTTTTGGTGCGTTTTGTTATTCTCTGGGGGTGGGGGCTGGACCCAATCCACTATATCCGCCTTCCTACTTCATGTTTTGACCTACTTCTTCCGACCGACGTGTACTGCCACCCTTTGCCCGTTTTCCCCTTTTTCGCCGCCCTGGGAGGTCCTCGTCGGCATGCATCTCTGGAGTCGCCTCGGAGTTCCGGTCAGACCGCACTCCGGGAGAGGTCTGGGCAGTGGCTCGGGGGCGGCGAAGAGGGGGGTGATGACTAGGGGGGGGTGGATATCATGGCGGGGGCCATAATATTTCCCCTGATTTCATGCCGCCTCCTCTTATTTCATTACGTCCCTGGCCTCCCCGCTGGGCCGCGCACATGCCGCTGGTCATGATTTGCACCCCCCCCTCTGGGACACCCCCCTCTTGGCCGCTCCCGAGTGGCGGTAGCGGCGCCTTCTCACTCCCCCAGACGTGTTCGCGCCGTGAAGCAGTCACGGCGGGGAGCTTGTGTTGGCAGTCTTCGGCCTTTGGGGGCCTTCGCTGGGCCCCGGGGCCGTCCAGACAGCGCTCGGAGTGAGAACCCGGCTGCGGGGGAAGGGTCGGGGCCTCCGGGCCCCGTGCTCAGAGAACAAGCGCCGCGCGTCCTGGTATAACAAGCGTCGGCAGAAGCCTGGGAGGTCAAATTCTGATTTTGCACTGGTCCGGAGTCCGGCTCAATCCCGCTTATTCCCGCTTCATCCCGCTTACTCCGGATCACTCCCGCTGAATCCGAGGCCCACTCCGGCGTAATAGCTCCCAAATGGGGCTTAATCCTCCTTAATGATTCCGACGAAAACCTCCCACTCCCAGTAGTTGCCTCCTAAGTCTGTGGGCCGCGCGGATCTCTTGGATCGGCGTCGGCCCTCCCTGGGTTGCCGCGCGCGCCGGCGAGTGGGCGGTCCCAGAAACTTCGCGCGGGCCTCCGCAAGCTCCGTCGTTTGCGTGCAGCTTGCTATCCTACAGTTAAGTCGGGCCTGTCCCTGCGCAGAAGGAGTAATCAAAAATAGTCAAAGAATAGTCAGGTGATTATTTTGTTTGACCATTTTTGCATATAATTGAATATTTTGGGGGGTATTTTTTTTTTCCTCGTCCAAAGTCCGCCTGTAGGGGGACATGCCCGACCTGACCCTTCAGACAGGCCCCGCCGACGTGCTGGTGGAAGCGTCCTCCGGCGCGGGGCAGCTGGTCGTGCAGGCGAGGCTCACCACCGGCGTGGGCCGCGCGGTGGGCGTGGAGGCCGTGCCCTCGCGCCTCCAGCTCGCCCTCGAGGCGGAGGCGCGGCTGCGCGCCTGCGCGGGCGCCGCCGCGGGCGTCGGCTGCCCCCAGGTGCTGCCGCGCCTGCCCGCGTGGGACGGCTCGGCCCTGGACGGCGAGGAGCTCCACTTCGCCGCGAGCGACGACCCCGTCGGGACCGCGGCGGGCTGGCCGGGCGCCACGGCGGTGTACGCGCTGTCCATCGGCTGGCCGCCGGGCGCCACCTGGCGCCTCCAGGCCGTGGCCGCGTCGGCGCTGCCCGCCGGCGCCATGCTGCTGACCGACTTCGCCTCCGCGCCGGGGTGCGCCAGGGGGTTCCTGGAGGTCACAGCGACCAGCCTGGCGGGGAACCGGAGCCTGCGCAACGGCTTCCCGATGATCGGCACCATCAGCGGCCTCGTCAAGGTGCCCGTCGTCGACCCCGCCAGCCCCCTGTTCGCGTCTCCGGGGGAGACGACCCAGGCCCTGAAGGAGCTGCTGCTCGAGCGGCTCGGCGCCGACCCCGCGGCGCGGGGCTGGCGCGACCGCCCGGTGCCCCTGGACCGCGCGGTGGAGATCCTCGTGGACCCGGGGCCACCGTTCCTCCCCGCGCGCGCGGGCGAGGCCCACGCGCCGGGCGCCGCGGGGCTGCTCCGCGCCCGCCTGCGGGCCATGCTGCGCCGGCACGCCGCCGGCAAGGCGCGCTTCAAGCGGCCCGAGCAGGCGGTGGGCGCGGAGGAGATCGCGCTGGGGGACCTCCTGGGCGTGCTCGGCGCGGGCCTCGAGGGCAAGGCGCAGAGCCCCCTCGGCTGCCTGGCCGCGGACCTCCACGCGCTCTCGCGCGAGGCCGACGCCGGGGCGGCGCGGCGCTCGCCCGCGGCGGACCTGAGCCTGCTGCTGGCGCCCGCGGCCGCGGGGCTGCTGTGGGGCGAGGGGTCGCGCCTCGGCGGGCGGCTGGGCGGCGGCGCCGCGGGCGACATTGGGCTGCTGCTGGTGCTGGGCGACTGCCGCGCCGCGGCGCTGGCGCTGGTGCTGGTGCCCCGCGCCCAGCGCGCCAGGTGCGCCGCGCAGGGGAGGGGTGGGCGTGGGCAAGCTGGTCGGGAGGCCTCGCCCCGGACATTCGGGTCCGGCGAAAGGGGGGGGTTTGGGAAAGGGGGTGGTTACGGAATCTGCTGCGTGCAGCTGGTTTCGGCCCCACCGAGGGGCCCAGCCGCCTCTGGCGCCGGGAGGCGCCGGGAAAATCAGCTACGTGAGCTGATTCTCCCCCCCCCCCTTTGCTATCCCCCCCCCTTGTCGCCTGGCCCGAGACATGCTCGCGTCGTGGAATAGTGATCGTTCTCTTATTCCGTGTGTTGCCGATCGGCGCGGGCCCTCGCACCCCCTCTTCCCCCCCCCATGGAGTAGATCTTGGCTGTTTTTGGCACCTGTTTCGAGCAGGTGGAGCCCCTCCCCCAAAGGGCTGCAAACAGCTGCACTAAGCAGAGGTCCAGAGCCAGACCCCCACCCCCCTCCCCTTCGCCCAATGTCGAAGCGCCGAGTAAGAAAACGCTCACAAAATCAGGACGGGGGAGGGCTTTGGCCGTGTTTGGCCTCGCGGGGCCTCTTGCGGGGCCCCGCGAGGCCGTCAAGGAACGGAGTTCTGGATGGAGAGCCCGTCACTGGGGGGGTCGGGGCGGCTGGTCGGGACTGCTGGGGAGCCCGTGCTGAAAATTCTTCACGCTTCGCGCATCCCCACCAACCCATTCATAAACAGCAACTTGTGCAAAGCATGCCGGCAGTCGTGGCTTTCGGGCGCACCTCCTCCTGCCCACGCATCTATCTTTCTACTTCTCTGGGTCTTTCGCTCTGGGAGCCTCTTGGAGGCATCTTGGGGGTATCCCGGGACCTTCTTGGGGATATTCTGGAGGTCTCTGGGCCCTTTTGGGGTTCCCGTGGTGCCTCTCGGGGCTCCCTTGGGGCTCCCTTGGGGCTCTCTGGGGGCGCTGTTGGGGCCCTCTTGGGGCTCTTTGGGGGGGTCTGGGAGGTCTCTTGGGGCCATCTTGGAGGCGATCGATCAAAACAGGGACGAGCACTTTTCTCTGTCCCCCCGTCGGGTCCCGAAACCCTATGAAATTACATCCTGCGGCGCCTTTTCGGCTGCCCATCTTGGACGCCCTGACGACCCGCGGAACGGCCTCTCCAGGTCCAGGGGGAGGGGTAGGGGGAGGGGTAAACCCCTCCCCGAAGGGGAAGAAACGGGTTGAGGACAGAGAGGGCTCCCTAAACCACTCACGCCCAGAGTGCTGGTGGGACTTGGTATTCATTTTCTTTGATCTTCTTCGTGTACGATCGTCCTTGTATGTGATAACCGCATGCCGATGATAATAAAGGGACCCCCCCCTTGAGTGTTTAGAGTTGATTATCGTCGCCCTATACAAAATTCAAATTGGGCGGCGAGCGCTGAGGCCGAACTTCATTATCACCTCGAAACGCTATGTTGAGATAGCAACATCAAGCGATGTTGATATAGCAACATCAAGCGAAGCGATCACACTTTTTCAGGATGTGTCAAGCGAAACCAATTATTTTGGGAGGCAGACTCAAACGAAACGAGCAATGTTCTTATTATTATTCTACTTTCCTCTTCTTCTTTTATATTTCTATCTGTCCTCACGCTCGCCTGAACTTTTTTATCCCTGGGGTTGATTATCCATGGAAAATGAAGCACATGAGCTACCCTACACGAGCACTTAAAAAATCAATTTTCATAAAGCGTTTGTAAATTAAAATTGATAGATTTGGAACTTTGGATTTTTCCTTTCTTCGTCCTCTTCTTATTATCCTCTTCTTCTTTCTTATTATTATTCTACTGTATTCTTCTTCTTTTATATTTCTCTCTGTCCCCACGCTCGCCTGAACTTTTTTATCTCTGGGGTTGATTATCCATGGAAATTGAGGCACATGAGCTACCCTACACGAGCACTTACAAAAAACAATTTTCATGAGAGATAAGCCATTGTTGAGGATATTTCTATGAAAACTAAACGCCAAGGATGTCTCAAAACGTGCTCGGCTTGGTCTCCTCTTGATCATCTCTTACTTCGAGATTATGCTGAGGTCTGCTGGGCTACTTTTATTATCTCTCCCTGAACCCCGAACTTTATTATCCCCTAGTGTTTATTCTCACGGACATGAGGTTACTTCGTCTATACTAAGTTTTTTATGATACTTCCTCTACACGACGACACGATTATACCATCAAACCACGTCTGAGTCTTTCGCTCTGAGAACCTCTTGGAGGCATCTTCGGTCTATCCCGAGGCCTTTTTTTTGATGTCTCTGGACCCTTCGGGAGTCCCCGTGGTGCCTCCCGGGGCTCTCTTGGGGCTCTCCCGCGGCGTTCTTTGGGCACTCTCGGGGCTCTTTGGGGGGGGGTCTGGGAGGTCTCTTGGAGCCATCGTGGGATCGATTGATCAAAACAGGGGCAAGCACTTATCTCGCCCCCCCCGTCGGGGTCCGAAAAGTCGCCTCTTGGGGTCCTCTTGGAACGCTCTTGGGGCGCTCGTGGGCGCTCTTGGGCCCGTCTTGGGCCTCTCTTGGGCTCGTCTTGGGGCTCTTTTGGGCCATCTTGGAGCCATCTTTAATCCTCAACAGCCCATTGGAAGCGAAAAGGCGAGAAGGCCAAAAACATTGATTTTCATTAGGTTTTGGAAGGATTTGGGCCTCTCGGGGGCGTACTTGGGAGGCTCCGTGGCCACTTGGAGCCGTCTTGGGTCGGTCTTGGAGCCTCCTGTAGGCATGTAGGGAGCTATCTTGAGACATCGAGGGCTGTCTTGAGCGATCTTGGAGGTTATCTTGAGCGCTCTTGGGCCCTCTTGGCGCCATCTTAGGTCATCTTGGACGCTCTAACCCCTCGCGCCCCCCCCTCTCCAGGCCCAGGGGGAGGGGGTAGGGGGAGAGGTAAACCCCTCCCCGAAGGGGAAGAAAGGGGTTGAGGACAGAGAGGGCTCCCTAAACCACTCACGCCCAGAGGGCTGGTGGGATTTGTTGCCCCCCGCAGTTGCGGATCAGAGTGAGGGGGAGGCAGGGTCGTCGGCAGCCTGCGAGGCCTTGAAAAAGCCCGCCGCAGGCGCCGATCTTTCAAATAAGATGGGGCAATGAGCCCGCCGCAGGCGCCGATTTTTTCGTCAAAGCAAGTGGGTGTGTCGAGGGTTTGTCGCGGGTGGGTCGCGGGCGGGTCGCGGGTGGATCGCGGGTGGGTCGCGGGTGGGTCGCGGATGGGTCGCGGGTGAGTCGCGGGTGGGTCGCGGGGTGGGTCGCGGGTGGGTCGCGGGTAGGTCGCGGGTGGGTCGAAGGTGGATCGTTGGCCGGGTCGCGGGAGGGACGACGACAACAAACAACCAAACAACAGCCCCACGAACAATAATAACAACAACAATAACAACAGTAACAACAACAGCAGCAACAACAACAGCAACACCAACAACACCAGGAACAGCAACAGCAGCAATAACACCAACACCCCTTCCACCAAACGAACAGCACCAACAACAGCAGCAACAACAACAAGCGTAGTACTATTGTCAACGATCACAACAATCAGTTCAATATTGTTCGCTCTGATCGGCTCGGGTGCTAGTCAACACGTGTATCCCAAATCCACGATGTCCGCCGTCTTCGTCTGCGATCGTACCCCTTTGGGGGTATATCTGGCTTATAGACCTGCAACGTATATTTCGTGCAGCCCCCGATACAAGGGAAGAGAGGACGGATGGACAGAATGGACAAAAGGGGGAGGGAGGAGGATGGATCACGAGAGAGAGTAGCAGGAGGGGGGCTAGGAGCAGAAAACACATGGCAGAATCAGACGGGCATTTTGGGCGGGCAGACCATGACAGGCGGGTCGGGAAGGCGGGCCCAGGCGGCCAGGTCGAGCAGGCGGGTTGCTGAAGCGTGCTTCCTGCATGAATCGCGGGGAAGTCCCGAGCGATAGCACGATTCCCA